GACCCCAATAGCCAAAGCAATCTTGGGAAAGAAGAGCAAAACTGGAGGTCACATTCTCCCTGATTTCAAACTATACTACAAGCTACAGTAATCAAAACAGCATGGTAATGGCACAAAAATAGACACATAGATCAATGGCACAGACTAGAGAGCCCAGAAGCAAACCCACACTTGCATGGTCAATTAATACGTGACAAAGACAGCAAGAACATATAATGGGGTAATGACAGTCTCTTCAATAAATGGTGTTGGGAGAACTGGACAACTACATGCAAAAGAATGAAACTGGATCACTATTATACACCATACAGAAAAATAAACTCAAAATGGATTAAAGACCTAAATGTAAGATCCCAAACCATGAAACTGCTAAAAGAAAACATAGGAAGTAAACTCCTGGACATAGGTATTAGTAATTTTCTTTTGTATATGTCACCCTAGCAAGAGAAACAAAAGGAAAAACAAACAGCTGGGGCTAGCTCAAACTAGAAAGTTTCTGTATGGTGAAGGTAATTGTCGACAAATTAGAAAGGCAAACTACTAAATGGGAGAAGATATTTGCAAATGATATATCTGATAATGGATTGGTACTCAAAATATATGAAGAACTCATAAAAGTCAACACCAAAAAACTCCCCAAAATCTGAATAAACATTTTTCCAAAGAAGACATACAGATGGCCAACAGGCACATGAAGAGATGCTCAAAATCCCTAATTGTTAGGGAATGCAAATCAAGCCACCATGAGATATCACCTGACACCAGTCAGAGTAGCTAATATCAACAAGCCAAGAAATAAGTGTTCGCAAGGTTGTAGAGAAAAGGGAAGCCTTGTGCACCTTTGGTGGGCATGGAAATTGGTGCAGCCAGTATAGAAAGCAGTATGGAATTTTCTCAAAAAATTAAAGATAGAACTATCAAGAGAGACAGCAATTTCACTTGTAGAAATTTATCCAAGGAAAACTCACTATAAAAAAGATATATGTAAGAACTTATTCACTAGGTAAGAACTTGTTCACCATGTAAGAACTTGTTTGTTATGCTTCAGAAGATTGGAGACTGACGAGAATTAGGCTTGGGGTGGATTAATGATTGTACATTGAGCATTGAGTCCCCTATACAGAATTTTATTGTTGTTAACAACCATTTGATCAATAAATATGAGAGATGACCTCTCAAAAAAAAAAAAAGATATATGCATCCCTATGTTCACTGCAGCAGTATTTACGGTAGAGAAGATGTGGAAGCAACCTAAGTGTTCATCAGTAGATGAATGGATAAAGAGGTGGTATATATACACAATGGAATATATTATTCAGCTTTAAAAAGAAAAGAAATCCTGTCATTTGCAACAACATAGATGGATCTAGAAGGTATTATGCTCAATGAAATATGCTGGGCAGAGAAAGACATATACCAAATGATTTCACTCATTTGTGGAATATAAAAACAAAGCAAAACAGAAGAAACAAAATAGCAGCAGACTCACACACATTGGAGAAGGGCCTAGTGGTTACCAAAGGGGAAGGTTTAGGGAGGGTGGGGGGATGTAGGGAGAAGGCAATTAAGGAGCACAATAATTCACAATCACAGTATAGGCTGGTCACGGGGAAGGCAGTACAGCACGGAGAATATAGTTAATAATTCTGTAACATCTTAGTACATTGATGGATAGTGACTGCACTGGAGGGGTGGGTGAGGGCTTGATAATATGAGTGAATGTTGAACCACAGTGTTGTATATGTGAAACCTTCATAAGATTGTATATCAATGATACTTTAATAATTAAAAAAACTAAAATTAATGAAAAATATTCAATCATTACCCTGTCCTCTCAAAAAAAAGAATGAATCTTGCCTTTTGTGACAACATGGATGGGCCTAAAGGGTATTATGTTAAGTGAAATAAGTCAAACAGAGAAAGGCAAATACCATATGGTTTCATTTATATGTGGAATCAGAAATTAAAACACACAAATCGACTAAACAGACTCATAAACAGAACACACTTGGTGTTTGTCGTGGGGGGAGGGGAGTAATGGGATAGTCAGAATAGGTGAAGGAGATAAAGACGGACAAACTTCCAATTAAAAAAAAATGAGTCATGGGGATGAAAAGTAACAGCATAGAGAATCTAGTCAATACTGTAATATCTTTATGTGGTGACAGGTGGTAACTATACACTTATCCTGGTGAACATTTCATAATGTATATAATTGCTGATAATGTATATATAATGTATATATAATCTACTCTACACCTGAAACCAGTAGAATATTGTATATCAAGTATATTTCAATAACAAAGTATTCAATATCTTGACTGTATTGGTGGTAACAAGGTTGTACACATTAAACTTCAAAAGGGGAGAAACTTGCTGTGTGTAACTTCTCTCTTAAGAGACCTGACTTTTAATAGAAGTTGGGGGGTTTCTTTAAACCCCACCCAGAGAGGGTGAATTTCTTCAGTTCTTTAAAAGCTTGCTGACATTTGCTATTGACTGGTGTTTTGATCCTGCCACTTTCCTTTGCCTGGTTTGCTCTGGATGTGAGGCAGTGAGACGGGGGAGCCCAGCACTGGGAGCATCTGCCCCCTGCCCCTAGAAGCCCCTTGAAGGAAAGCCATTCTGGGATCCCTACATCCTCAGTGGAACATGGCCAGTGTCCATCTAGACCCCTCGCCCTAGTCCCTCCAGAGCCCCAGCCTCAGGGCATCCAGCCGGGACAGCTGCCCTAGGCATCGTCCTCTGCCCTGCCTCGAGGTCAGGCCTTTGTGCATTTCCTCTGCCTGGAGCACCGCCTCGCCCCACCTCACCACTCCAGGGGAGCTCCCGCCCAAGTGCCGCCTGTGTAGGCAAGGGGCCCAGAGCCCTGCCAGGGGGCCTCCCCTCCTGTGCTGTCAGGACCCCTCCCTGCCCTTGTCGTTGGGCCTCATGAGGCCTCCCAGCAATGCCACCTCTGCTGGCCCTGCACAGCGACTACTGCTCATCCAAGGCTCCTAGGAGAGACAAGAGGGCTACAGAAGGGAGGGGTTGCCCAGGGTGGCACAGCAAGCTGCTTCGAGCTTCCCCAGCCCCGCAAGGTGTAAGGTGGAGATTCTAACAGCAGCAGCGCATGGGGTCATCGGGAGGGTTCAGCGAGGCCTGCCCGGCCCGGCACACAGTGATTCCTCAGTGAGTTAGTGATGATTATTTCCATCACAGCTACCCCTAAGCTTTCCCATCATACCCTGAAGAGTCTGGGGAAACTGAGACAGCTGTCACCAGGGGTGAGGCCTATAAAAACAAGGGTGCTGAAAAAGGCCTTAGCCCATCTACTCTGCTCCTCAGCAGCTGCCTCCCAGTGAGGACACGCAGCCTCAGGGCACCCTGCCCAGAAACTAACCCGTATCTTTACTTCCCCTGCTTTTAGCAGCAGCCCCCATGTCTCACCCAGCTAATTTTAATTAGATATTGGGTTTCTAGGCCACTCTGGGCCCTCAGGGGAAGCATGGCTGATACTGGGAGCCACTCACAGATTCGCCTGTCTTTGAAAGGCCATGTTGGCCTGGCCTGTGGCTGGATGTGGGACATGGCTGCGGTGGGCCCACAGCTCCCACACCTGTAGCAGGGAAGAGTCCCAGGCGCAGTGGGCAGGCCCTGCCAGGGCTGCCTCTGCCTGGCTGTGGGAGTTGGCTGGACCATCTGTTGTGCCAGGTGAGACTCTACTTTCTGGATGACCCAGTGCAGGGCCCTGGAATTCCTGTCTATCTGGCAGGTGGGCACTGAGCCTGATTGAAAAATTTCACTCCATTTTGGCTTTAGATTATATTTCCTTCCAAAAGAGAAACTTGAGTATCAAAGTAGATGGAGGCACCATGATCCCCTCTCCAGGCCTTTCCCCTTCCTCTCTCCCCAGAGACCACCACTGCTGGGGAATTCTCTGCAGGGTTTAAGAAAAGTATCACACTGTGTGCACCATTCTGCCATTTGCTTCTGGGCTCAGCATGTTTGGGATAGCTGTCCATGTTCATGCAGCTAGTCCTAATTTATTCATTTCAACTGCATACTATTCCACTGTATTAGCACACTACCTTTTATTACTCTAGTCCTCTGCTGAGAAATGCATGGGTGTTCCCAGCTTATTGCTGTGACAGGCAACACTGCAGTGAACGGCTTCCACCTGGGCATGGGTTTCTAGGATTCAGACCTGGGACGGAAATAATGCGGCCATTGGGCACACATTTTCCTAGTTTACTGGATATTGCTGAGTTTCCCTCCAATGGTTATAAGGAGTCACCTTGTGGTCTGCTGAATGGTTAGAGCATTTCCTCTCACAGTGATCTCAATCCACTGGAAATATTTTTTTGCTGCTGGTCAAGTTTGAGGCCCAACTCATTGTTTTTTATACAGAAAACCTGTAGTTCCTGTTCTATGGGTGGGGAGGGGACCTGTCTTCCCCCGGTGATCCTGTTAGCTTCCTATTATTTCCTGGCACTGGGCCGGCAGCCTGGTGGCACTGGATTAAAAAAAAAATAACAGCCATACTGAGCATAATTCACATGCTGTACAAGCACCTTTAAAGTGTCCAACTCAATGGTTTTTAGGATAGTTGCAGAACTATGCAACCGTCACCACAATCAATTTTAGAACATTATCACCCCAGAAAGAAACCCAGTACCCAGGCACAGCCCCTCCTCTTCACCTCTCAAGGCTTCCCCTCGCCCCTGGCAACCACTAATCTACTTCCTGTCTCTAAGGATTTGCCTGTTCTGGGCATTTCATATGAATGGAATCCTACAACACGTGGCCTTCATGTCTGGCTCCGTTCACTCACTGTGTTTTCAAAGTTCATCTGTGCTGAAGCCTGTGTCACGACTTTGCTCCTTTTCACAACCGGATAACCTGTCATGCGGGCATGCCACATTTTGTTTATCTGTTCACTTAAGTGCTTGATCTTATCCACGGACCTCCAGTACCTTGGGTGAGGAGGGAAAGGAGGCCGGCCGGGGCCGCACACTCACGTTTTCACATAGGGGTCGGAGTAGCCGTTGGCGTCCATGGCAGCCAGGTGTGCACACCTCACGATGCCGACCAGCAGGCCCTGCTTTTGCGAGCTGTACTTGAGGGAGATAAGGATACGGCCCCGCTCCTCCAGGGACTTGTCTTCCGTCTTGTCCACCTGCCGGGTGGGCAGTCACTTGGCTGTCCTCGCCTGCTCCCATCCCCCCTCAGCTGTGGGCCTCTGAGGCCGGCCGTGCACCAAGGCCAGATAGCGTCCAGGGCCTCGCTCTGGCCCCAGCCACCCTCAAGGTGCTTCCTGGAGGCTCTCAAGGCACAAGAGTCGCCCTCTTGGGGAGCAAACAGAGCTTGGACACAACCCCAGGGGGAGCCGGAGGTGGGTGGGGGATGCCCAGGCCCCTCGGGTGCCCCAGCAGCTACCCAGTGGCTGCCTCTGGGATCAGACCTTGCTGTCTGCCTCCCTACCCCAACCAGCCCACTGCTCCCCCATTCCTCACCCTCCTGAGACTACCCATTTCTACCTGCCAGCTGCTGCTCATCTGAACCCCTTCTCCTTCACCCTCTGTCTGCCCAGGCACACCAAGCTGGAGCCCTACGAACCTCAGGGCCCCTCCTTAGGCCTCTCTGACAGGCTCCTCTCACATGAAGTCCCAGCTGCAACCCTTTGCCCATGGCTGTCCTCGTCGCTGTAGTGGCACCTCATGGGGCCCTTTGTAGGCAGGGTCACGCCCACACCTCTCTGGAGACGGACTCCTGTGAGGTGAAGCGGGGGCCACCTTCCCCCGAGTCCCATGCCCAGAGCCCACACGACTGGCCACAGCAGTCACCCCCTGAGCTCAAATGCAGCCCTAGTATCTTAACACAGTGCCCAGACAGCCGTTACCAGTGGACCAGACCAGACATGTGAGATTTAACTATGCAGCCAAGGGCTCTGTGGGTGATGGCCTCACTAAACTGTGGCTCTTGTGCTAGTTTGAGTGATGTGTAAAAGTGAATATAAGGCACAAGAGTGGCCCTCTTGGGGAGCAGACAGAGCTTGGACACAACCCCAGGGGGAGCCGGAGGTGATGTTTTCAGTTGTTTTCCAGAGGTGGAATATTATACTTTGGGTCATCTCATTCGAAGATCAAGCAACTGGACGTGACTCAGTATTTACTGAGAATAATGTTCACAGACTATGTAAAATCTAAAATGTACCATCAAAATGTGGGACGGCCACTCTGGCACTGAAGAGAAGCTGCACTTCTGTGGCTGCAGTGGGTCCCTGCAGCTGGACCAGCGAGCTCCGAGCAGATTCCAGGGAGTCCGGCACCACCCTGGTCGTGCCCCTTGCACAGGCACACACACTCTCCCGGGTCTATGTGTGTGAACACCACATTCCACACAAACACAGGCCAGTCTTTCACACACAGATGCACACTTACACACATGTACACTGCTCTCACACACAGTTCACACTCACATGCGTGCTCCCCGCTCCTCCCACAGTTGTTTATGCCAGGAGTACATCAAAACTCAGGATGACCACCACAGCAGGGGTTGATGTCACCTTTCATAAGGGACACAGATCACTGGGAAAAACTGGGTTACTCAGGGTTAATGACTAATAATAAAATAAAAAGGTTAGATCCACCACACAAATGTGTGTGAGTGGGAGAGAACATGACAAAGGAATAAAATTTGATTGAGTTATACAAAAAGACAGAGCTGGGATTCCGGCAGGGAGCTAGCTGTCAACTTGTTCCAAGTGCTTACTCGGGCCAGGCTGCCCCGAGCATCCGGCCCAGGGCCCAGGCCCCGCCAGGGGACGGACACGGGCTCTGTCCTCCACAGCTGTTCCTTTGTCTAGGCCTCTGGGGGCAAAATGTCCCAAAGGGGGCTTGTGCCTGAACACTGGGCTGCTAGAGGGTCAGGGTTTCTCAGGAGCTTGGCACTTGCCGGCCAACCCCTCCCAGTGCTTCTGAGCACGTGGAGGTGGGGCCTCGGGGAAGAGGGCTCAGCTACAGCTGACAGCCGGGGGCAGAACCAGTTCTGACATCATTTTCAAACAATTATGGCTTCTAGGAAAGAATTATTTTCTGTCTTCTCTGGGTATCTCACAGGCATTCACGCTATCGTGTTCCGTGTTCCGGTTGTGCTCCCTTGGTCTCCCGCACCAGTTAATGACCCTTCACCCTTTGGGCGGGCCCCTGCCTGGGGACGCCGCGCCCGCCCGCATTGCCCCCCAGGGCCCGCCTCTGGCCACTGCCACTGCCACCTCACAGCTCCCCCGGCCCCACCCTTCCTTCCTTCCCGTTCTGACCTCAGCGAGCCCGTTAAAGCAGACTCAGGGGCCTTGCGCCGCCTATTGCCCTCTCTGGCCCACCCCCCAACCTCTGATCTCAACTCCAAGGGCCCCTCCCCTCGCTCTCTCTGCCCCTCTCAGTTGGCTTCTTGCCTGTGCCTCCAACAGGCCGGGAGCTTTCCTCACAGGGCCTTGCACCAGCCGTTTCCTCTACCTGGAACATTCCCCACTCCCCTGCGGAGTACTTCCCAGAACACCCGTCCAAAGTGTCAACCCCCCTCCTGGTTTCCTTCTTGGCCCTGATCACTGGGGGATCTATGATCCATGAGGGCAGGTATTTTTGTCTCCCCAGCACCTGCAATGGTGCCAGGCACATAGCAGGCGCTCAGTAAATGCTGCTGGCCTTGGCTCATGCAGGCAGGGCCCTGGATGGCCCGCAGAGCCCCGCAGCCCACTCACCGGCAGCTGCTTCTCCAGGCAGATGCTGAACGTCTTGGTGTGGTTGGGCTTCAGCTTCTTCAGGGGCACCCGTGTCTCCCCGATGAACTCGTTGTGGCGGAATTTGTCCTCATCGCACACAGAGATCCTGGAAGGCGAGGGACGCAGCCAGAAGTTCAGATCCACTGGGTGCTTGCGACTGGCCTCTGAGGTCAGCAGGGATTTGCAGGTGGTGGGCGGGGAGGTGAGTGGGCAGCGTCAGCCCACGGGTGAGGCTGGGGGCGGCGGGGGCAGGGGCCCGAGGCGGCCCTCACCTACCGCAGGGTTTTCCGGATCATGTCTTCATCCGTGATCCCATAGTAAGTGAGGGTCTCATTCCACGTGGGGTTCAGAGTGTTTCGGAGGGTTTTTGTTCTGAGCTTATTTGCCTGGGAGAACGAAAGTGATCCTGGGAGCGTCAAGGAGTGTGGTGGGCAGGATGGCCCCCAGGGGTGGGCACGCCCTTCCCCTCCCCCCGCCAAAGCTGTGAGCATGGCATGGTAGTGGAAAAGGGGGATCAAGGTTGCAGATTAAGATTGTTAACCAGCTGACTTTAAAGTAGGGAGATGTCTAGGTGATCTATGATGGGGAAGAGGGAGGTGTGAGGAGGGAAGGTCATAGAGGCAACTCTGCAGAGGCTCACAGGGGTGGGGGCATGTGGCGGCTTCTAGAAGCTGGAAAGGGATGGGAAACGGCTTCTTCCCTACGGCCTGCTGCGTGGAGCGCAGCTCTGCCACACTTGATTTTAGCCCCGGGGGACCTACGCAGACTTCTAACCTGCAGAACTGTAAGATAAGAAATCTGTGCTGTTGTAAATCACTAAAAGTTGGTGGTAATTTGTTACTGCAGCAGAAGGAGAACAGGAGGATCCCTGTAAGTGAGTGAGTGAGTGTGTGTGTGTGTGTGTGTGAGAGGGATCTGCAGGAGGCAGGGGGCCTGGCTGGGCTGCTGGGGAGCTCAGCTGGGGACCTAGGTTCTCTCCCTCACACGCCTCTGCCCGGAACGCCCCATCTCCTGGAGGACGCCCGCCGACTGGCTGTCCAAGCTGCTGTGTCAACTCCACTCCTTCCTGTGCTTCTGCAGAGCTCAGTCCTCAGCTCCTTGCTGGTCTTGCTCTCTTGAGACTGTAAGCCTTGCACTCAGTTCCCTTTGGAGTCTGTCGGGCCCATGCCCAGCCCCTTACACAGCTTGTGAAGCCCAGAGGAGGTGGAGTCCCCACCCTCTGGGTGTCAGGTTCCCCACTGCTCATAGGGCATAAGAATACCTCTCCCTCAGCACTGTTTTCAGGAGCTTCTTTCCCGTGGGCGCCTCTTTGTAAAAGCTGCCCTGTGGGAAGTCCCGTGGGGGGGAGTCCCTGCCACTCAGTCCTGCTGAGGTGAGGTCCCAGAGCCTCAGGCTGCCAGCTCAGTGAGCTCCCCTGGTCGGCATGTACCCGAGCCCACGCCGCCCTGGGCGTCCCACCTGCAGCATGAGGATGTCAAGGCCTACACTTCTCCAGGTGTAGGTGGGGGGCATTGCTATTTCCCCGACACCCCTGCCTTCCTAAAGAGGAGTAATTGCCCCTCTGGGCAGCCCCTCCTGGACCAGTGGGCAGCTTCAGCCCTACACGCTGGTCCAGAGGGTTTGGGCCTCAGAGGCAGCACAGGCACCAGCAGCCGGTGGCTGCTCAGTCCCGAGGCAGAAGTCCTAGTGGCCTGGGAGGCCCTCTGCCCAGGAGGACACTCTGTTGCAGGCTCTTCCTCCCTATCAGGAAGGAATTCCCTAACCCTTGGCTTCTGAGGAAAAGGTCGGGACAAGAGCACCAGCCCCCAGGCTCTGCGGCCTCACACTCCCTTGTCCTGTGTGCTATGCACCCATTTCGTTCCTGGTTTGTACTTGGAAGCAAAGCTGCTAGTGTCCGGTGGAATGGCCCCCAGCATGGGTGTCCGCACAACCAACCCCTTGAGCTGTCTGGCCCCAGGGCCAGGGCGAAACCCGACACTGAAAAGATGATGTGACCCTCCCTCCCACAAAATTTAAAATAAAAGAACCCTGAACTGGAACACAATGTAAGGATATCTAATCAAGTTTCGGCTTTCCAGTGCTGAGGGGTCACCTTGATGCTTTTAACAGCAAATTATTTTCAAAAAATTTTTTTTCTCACCTTCCCTTTGTTTCTTACCTGTGCCACATGCTTGGTCTACCTGTTGGGCTATCTGGCATGGGAATCGTGCTCTGTGGTAAAAAAAAATTGGGCATTCTGCCCACTCCATGCCCCTTGTGGAGCATCACAGAGTAGTCCATGAATATATTAAAGGCTCTGATAACTCCTGTAGTAAAGAAATCTGTTTAACAATGTTTCCCAAAGTTATTGGGCCCCAGAACCCTTTCTTTGCACATAATATTAACCTTCAGCTGGGACTGTTTCTTTAAAATGCTTGCCTAGAAACTCTTGGGAGGTTTCCCCAACTCAGCAGGCAGGTAGTGCTGACTTGAGGCTGCTGGGGGGTCTGGAGGGTGTGGGAGCTGCGGGCCTCCCCGGGCGCCCTTGCAAGCCCAGGCTGGCCCCTCGTCTCAGTGGGCAGAGCTCAGGCAGACCCCTCACCTTACTGGCTCCTGGCAGCAGGTGCAACTTGACGTAGGGGTCCGCTAGCCCATTGTGGTCCATCGGCTTCAGGCCCTGAAAACAGCAAACAGTGTGAATTGCGGGTGGGGTCTCAGAGCGCCTCCAGGCACCTGGATTGACAGGCATTCCTTGTCCCCAGGTCTCCTGTCTGGATCCATTGATGACCCTCTTCACTGAAGCCCGTTAGGCCCACGCGCTCATAACGGGCGAGTGAGGATGGCTCAGTGCTGGTGCAGTCTCCCCTCCCCCAGTGTCCTGGCCCAGCCAGCGCAAGTGTCACAGGCACCTTTGTCGGACCAGCTTGCTCTTCCTACGCTCCTTGTCATGGAGGCCAGGTGACTCACCTTTCCCGGAGAGGGGCCCTCATTACCCCGCTACGGCCAGGCTCTGCCGGCTCCTGTTTCCCTGCCTCCACCCACCAAACAGTGACTCCCTCACTGACCCTCTGTCCTCTCATCCACATGCTTCCTCTGTAGCCACAGGAAGATGTCTTTCCTGTGCTTCAGCAGAGCTCGGTCCTCACGCTCCTTACTGGTCTTGCTCTTCAGTGTGTAGGGCTGAAGCTGCCCACTGGCCCAGGAGGGGCTGCCCAGAGGGGCAATTACTCCTCTTTAGGAAGGCAGGGGTGTCGGGGAAATAGCAGTGGCCCCCCACCTACGCCTGGAGAAGTGTAGGCCTCGACATCCTCATGCTGCAGGTGGGACGCCCAGGGCGGCGTGGGCTCAGGGGAACATGCCCACCGGGGGAGCTCACTGAACTGGCAGCTCGAGGCTCCGGGACCTCACCTCAGCAGGACTGAGTGGCAGGGACCCAGACAGGACTTCCCACAGGGCAGCTTTTACAAAGAGGCGCTCACAGGAAAGAAGCTCCTGAAAACAGTGCTGAGGGAGAGGTATTCTTATGCCCTATGAGCAGTGGGGAACCTGACACCCAGAGGGTGGGGACTCCACCACCTGTGAGCTCCATGGAGTCGTGTAAGTGGGGCTGGGTGCAGGTATGACGGACTCCAAAGGGAACTGAGCACAGGGCTCAGAGTCTGAAGGGAGCAAGACCAGTAAGGAGCTGAGGACGGAGCTCTGCAGAAGCACAGAAGACCAGGCTTAATTTGTTTCTGGACTTGCCATAGCTCCCTGACAGTCTGTTTCCATGGAGGCCACACAACCTGGCCAGGCACGGAGGGTCCGTCCACAAGATGGCACCCCTCACTAACTGAGCAATCCATCAAAGCAGGGAACCAATGGAACCATAAACAGGGGCTTAGTTGACCTCATGCTTGCTCTTCTTTCTGAAAATTGCATCCTTTTTCTTCCGGGACGACAGGCGCACAGGCACGTAGGGCGGCAGCTGTGGCTCTAGCAGGGCAGACATCAAAGATGAGCCACCAGTTGGTTGCTCATGGCAGGTCTGCTCACAAAGGCACCCCCAACCTTGATTTAGAGAAGCTGAGGGGAGCAGGGCTGAGATTGAGGTGGGGGCTTCCACCCAGCCACTGTTCTGCTATGGGGAAGGGGCACACAGGTTTGAGAGCCAGGCTGGCCTGGGTTCAGATCTCAACCCCTGCACTTACTAGCTGGGTAAGGGAATGAATTACTTTGTCCCCTGAGCCTCTACTTTACCATCTGTGAAATGGGTTAATAGTTCCTGCTTCCTAGAGCTGGAGTGGGAGTAGAGGAGGAAACGCTCATGCAGGGCCTGGCTGGTGGGACGTTTGCTCCCCTTTACATGCCAGGTCCCTGAAGATGCCACAAAAAGGGCTGGGGTGCAGGTGTCTGAGCTGCTGGGGCTCCGGCTCTGGGATGAGGATCAGCTCAGAGGCTTTGTGTCACTACCCATGGCAATGAAGTGGCCCTTCCAAATGCAGTCCCTCCTCCTGGCCTCTTGCCCTTTCCCACAAAGTGCCCAGGACTGGTGTTCTGCTGGAGTTTCCCCAGTGCCTCTGTGGATATGTGAGCCTGCGCCCTCCATGTTTGTGGGGCCGGGTTGGCGCCTCCCAGCAGCATAGTCCTCAAGACGGCCACAGGTCCTAAGCACTTAATGCCAGCAGCCGGGATGATTAACCCTATTTTACAGATGAGCAAACTGGGGCTGCTCTGGTGGCTAAGCTAGGGTCCAACCCCTGAGCATCTGGCCTTCTCCCAGAGCCCCCAAGGGGCACCAGCTGTCAGCTCTGCTCCAGTCTCCTCACCCTCCAGGACTCCTCCTCGAACACCAGTCCACAGCTCCAGCCCCTCCCATGCCTGCACCACCCTCTCCCCTGCAAAACTGGATCCAAACAGAGGATGAACCAGAGAATGGGGGAACTGCTGTGCTCGGGGTCCTCCCATCCCCCACCTCCAATGCCACCACAAATGGAACACACACGTGTGCACACACAGGTGCCCTGAGACCCATGCACACACCCACACACACACCCTGGTGCACCCACAGTCCATCTAGAGCCCAGGTAGGGAGGCAGGGCATTCAACACAGGAGGGGCCCAGGGGCCTGGGGTGGGGAGGAGGGGTGGCTCTGGCCAGTGCGGCCTGGCAGCCGGTGCCCATTCTCAGTTCCCCACCCGGACAACTACAAAGCCGGATGGAGAAGGAGGGGAAGAGATCTGCCCGGACCCTGCATGGCTGGGGGCCACCAGACTTCCAGGCTCTACACCTAGGGGCAGGTCAAGGCAAGGTGGGCAGTGCCCTGCATCCCAGTCCGAGCAGCTCCCAGAGGAGAGGGTGGAGGTGGGGATGGGGCATGTGGGCTCTGGATGCCCAGTGTGGACATGGCTCAGCCCTGCCACAGCAGTCCCTGCGTGGTAGCCCAGGCCAGGCCGGGCAGTACCAGGCAGGCAGCCTGTCCCTCTGGGCGGGCAGAGCAATGGGCAGGGTGCGAGGGAGGGAGGGACAGAGAAGCAAGCTCAAGAGTTGGGGACTGAAGCGGGCTGGGCCCAGGCCGTTCTGCTGGAAGCTCCTTACTCTGCGCCAGGCCCGGACCCTTCCACAGCTCTACTGGGAGGTTCTACTGGGCCACACTGCTGCCCTTACCTTCCGAGAGAACATCAGCTTTGGCACCTTCCTCCCAGAGGGAGCAACACATGGGGGATGAAGGGAACAACACACTGAGAACACAGAGCTGGCACATGCCTCTCCCAGGGACAGGGTCACAGTGGGTCTCGCAGACACCCATGGCCCCAGCCCAGAGAGCTCCGCTGAGGCCTGGACTTGACAAGAGATTAACCCCCTGCCTGGAGTGGGGGCAGCGGCCAGCGCCCACCCACTCCTGGGCAAGGCTGGGAGGTCTGGGAGCTTTGGGGGCCAGAGGCATCTCAGTGCAACTCTCCCTCTTGGCCTGTCACCTCCCCCCTTTCCTCTCTCCCCTGCCCCCTCAGCTCGGGGGCCTTTTGCCCCCTGGAAGCTACCCCACCCCACCTTCATCCTCTCATTCTCTTCCCGGTTCTTTGTTCTACTCCTTCCCCCGAGCACCTGGCTATACAGGGCTTTTTGGGGCCACTGAGATGATTTAAGCAAGAGTTCTCTCCCCAGCCTGCACCTGCACAGCACGGGACCACCAGGCCTGTGCAGGAAATGGCGGGGGCTGGCCTCGGCACAGCGCCTCCTGCGGGACCTGGTCCTGGGCACAGGGGGTGGCGGGGGCCTACCTTGGCCTTGCTGATGGTGCAGTGGAGAGCGTTGTTCTCCTGGTCATAGAGCAGGCTGAAGTCCAGTGTGCCCAGGGCGGCTATGGACAGAGGAGGGCTGTGGCCACGCACTGGCTGCATGGTGAAGCCTCACCCACCCCATGTGGTCAGATGAGTTGTTACACTGTCCATGGCAACAGCTAGCAACTGAGCACCTACTGTGCGGCCCCCCTACCAGGTTCCCAGTCCCAATAATCTCAGATGCTGAGCAGCATTCTCCCTGCTTCCCAGATGAGTGGAGGCTCAGAGAGGCTGGGTCAGTACCTCAGCCGCATGGTGGCCCAAGAGTCAAACCCAGGCGGTCAGCACCACAGTCCCGGCCCCTAACTCCTGTGCTGTCCTGTGGGGCCCAGCCCATGGCTGGTCCACGAGGTGCCCATAGAGTAGGCACTCAGCTAAAGTTGCTCCTGTCCCTCTCCCAGCCTCGTGCAAATGCCAACCAGGCTCCAAGGATGGTGTGAGAAGAAAGAAGACACAGGGCTCCTCAGACTGCAGGCTGGCTGGGCTGACTGGCTGATCCGCACTTTATCCCAACTTTAGGGATAACGATATCAAACGGCAGGGCTCCTGCCCCAGGGAAAGCACAGCTTAATAGGAGGAAAAGATGAAAGGAATTTGCTACAACGGTTGGTGGGGCAGGAGCCATGGTGGGATCCACGGGGGAATGACTGGCCTTGATGTGAACTGGGGCTATCAGGGAAGGCTTCCTGGAGGAGACACTTCACTTGAGCCTGGATGGTGGAAGCAGGCCAGGGTGCAGTGGGGCTGGCATTCAACCACAGGACAACTGAAGGGTGGCGGCCTGAGTGGCTGAGGTGATGCTGGGGGCAGGGCAGGGCTCCATTCTTCAGGCCAGGGGTGCCCACCATGGGTCTAGATCAAACTGAGTCCTGCTGGCCACATCCAGCCATGTTCATCTGTTTACATCTTGTCCACAGGTGCTTTTGTGCTACACCGGCAGAGCAGATGCCACAGGGGCCATATGTTCAGTGGGTCTCTGGGCCAGTGCAGGGGCCCAGGCAGGGCCAAGTTTGGGGTCTGCAGAGAAATGGGCAAACTAAGACCCAAGTGTGGAGTTGCCCTGTATTCTGAGATAAGGGCACAGGAGCTCTGCAGCAAGGCAGACACTCAGTGTCTGTTCCCTCCTGGGGGGCACATGTGGGGTACAAGACCCACCCTCTGACATCTGCCTCTGGGTCCAAATCTGGCTCCGTGCCCCCTTGCCGCCTGCCCTTACATAGCTTATGTAGCCTCTTTGTGCCTCGGTTTCTAGCCCGTGGAATGGAGACGCCACAGCCTCCCCTCACAGCACTGTGCCCTAACACAGTGCCCGGGCATGGAAAGTGCTCAGGAGATAATTACAGAGCGGGCAGATCCATTTTGGTGATTTTTCTAGATAACTGTACTTGCCCCTCTGAGACACCTTCTGGGATGAACTAGTTCCAAACTGGATCACTCTCCTCCCAGCCTCTGTGCACAGAATATGCGAAAGGTCATTTACACTCTTCTGAACAACCTGAGTCACTGCTATGACTCCAAGTACTGTTCTGTGTGTCACAGTCATAGCCTGGACCCAGAAGGGAGCGTGAGACAACTCTGCCACCAAGTGACCCCGGGTGGCCTCTCTTTTTGAGGTTTTCTTCATTTTTCTGCCTCCTTTGCCATCAGCCTGAACGTCTTGTGAGAGCACTTGGCCCTGGCAGCACACAGCTCGGCCTCCTATTCACTAGTTACTTGCATCTTCTATGAAACCAGGTGAGAATACTTGCTAGAACTGTGACCAAATTAAGAGCCACTAGGCCTTGCATGGAGCCTACAGCACGTTTTCCTAAGCATACGTGCTTCCGTGCAAGCTGCATCACAGCTCTCATCTATGCAGGTGGGCAGGTGAGGGTGCTGTGAAGTATGCATCACCGGGCCTGCCATGACTAACGCAGCCACCGGCCCAAGATTCCTCTGGTCTACACTTTTGTAATAATTTCCTCTAAAGCTGTTGGTTTTACATGACAGCAAATTAGCCTGCTGTTTAGTTCAGGCCTACCCATGGCTTGCTCCCCCCAAAACATTAGCCTCCTGAGGGCAGGGACCATGCATGCCACCACCACGCCTGTGACACCAGCAAAAAGCAGATGTTCGATCCACGAGGCCGGTCCATTCAAACCAACTTGCTCTCCAGCTGCTCACCAAGGCCAGGATTCGGTGCAAGGCCCACGTGTTAAAATGCACACTCTATGGTCTCTGCCCATTTCCCGGTCCCAGAGAAGGACAAGCCAGGGAGGCACGGGGCCACCTGCTCCTCACTGGGAAACAGCTCTGGGAGGTGAGGGGGAGCCCCTACCATTGGCTCTACAGACACCCCTGTTTAAGGAGGGCCTGGTGCTGCTCAGTGGAACCACCATCTGTTATCACTTCCAGGGAAGGAACAGCACGCTTGGTGCCACCCCAGGATGGGATTGATGAGTTTCTTCGAACTCCAAGGAAGTTTTGTAAGCAGTTGCTTATAAACAGAAGCTCGGTTACCATTTTTAGAGACTTCTGGTGGTGGCGCTCTCTTAGGGTTCTTACGGTCCGAAGTCTTCATTTCTCACTCAGAGAAATGAGGCTCAGAGAGGGAAGGTGACCCTGTCAGGGTGGCACAGTGGAATTGGACACAGAATCCAGCTCTCTTCATGTCCATCCTTCCTGAAAGCTTAGTGGCTTCCAAAATTTGTTTGCCACTTCCTTCAGCTGAAATCTTAGGAGAATGCAATGGAGAAGTGAGGGAGAAGCAGAGTAGCTGTTAGGAGCGGGGAGGGCTCAGGGGCAGCCAGCAGGGGCCTGTGCAGGGCTTGTGGGTGGGTGAGGAGGGCCTGAAGGGCAGGTGCAGCTGCTTGTCTGTGTGAGCCACAGGGGCCTGGCCTTGAGCCACTCAAATCACATGTCCTGGCTAAAGTTTACATCCTTGGAAGAATAATGATGGTTGGTCACTAATGGGCCTTCCGAGAGTTGTCACCTGCTTGTTGATGATTATAGAGCTTTAATGGGGCTAATTCAGAGCAAATCAGGCTCAAGCCCCTGTTGGTTCCTCCAAGGCTGAACATCCCTTTGCTCTGCTGATGTTGACTGACAGCACCATTTTGACCTTGGTTTGCACCTAGACTTTCCTCACCTGTACACCCTTGGGAATAGAAATCTGCCCATTTTTTATGTTGTTATTTTTTTTTCCTGGAAAATGGCAGTCTCTCAAAAAGCTTAAAAAACAAAAACAAAAACAAAAAACTGGAAAGAACCACAGAAAATGATCAAGCCTGAGGGGAAAGCATTTCATAGTAGGGGAAACTGAGGCACAGAGCCAGGCACTGCAGGGGGTCACAGAGAGGAATGATGAGCTCTACAACGGCTCAGAGCCCAGCAGCTCAGAGGCAGAGGGTCAGGACTTTATGAATCTCTTCATGCCCCTGCTTTAAATTGTTCGAAGGTTTTCCACTGCCTCCTGGATTCAGTTCCCACTCCTTGGTGTGGCATCTGAGGCCTTCTGTGATATGACCACTTTGGCCTCATCAGGCACCTTTCCCCTTGCTTCAGCCACTTGACTCTCCTATCGTGCCTCTCCTGGGCTATGTTCCCACACCTCTTCACCTGTGCACATGGCAGGCCCTCTGCCAGGAGCACCGCCCGTGCCTCCTTCCACTCTGCCAGTCAGCCTCCTCCTTCCTCCCAGCTATGAGGCACAGCCCTCTCTGTGGGTGAATGCTGTGCAAGCCAGAGCTTCCTGTTTGCGTTCCTGCCTCCTTGTCCTCACTGCTAGGCTGCTTGAGTGTCTCGGTTTCCCTGAACTCCCTGATGTCAAAGATTGTGTCCCAGGCATTCTTGAATCTCTGTGCCCAGCACAGTGCCTGAGACATAGTTGGTTCTGTAATGTTGAGTGCATAAAAATTAGGTCGAGGCAGAACACAACTGGGCTCCAAGGAAGGGGTAATCATTGCCAGTGGGGACCGGAAAATGCTTCCAGCTGAGGGCCCTTGGGGCTGGTCTAACAGTGATTCCTCCTATCCATCCTTGTTTCAGGCCTCCATGGGCCTCAGTTCTGACCCAGCCCCAGCTGAGTCACACAGGGGCAGGTGTAAGTATGGGCATGTGATGCAATTCTGGCCAATGAGACAGAAGGACAGGTCTCCTGGGGACTCAGAGGTTTCCTCGCTCTTGAACTGAGAAAGGGGCAAAGAAACTGGTCCTGATCAAATGTAGGATCCTATTGTTACATGTGACCTGCAGCAGCCACAAGGGAGGTTAGCCTAAGAGGAAAAGAGCAGGGCCGAGTGCCAAGATGGACAGAACCATCACCATTGCTGTTGCTGATGAGCTGCTGCATAAATTTCCTCCAGGGTCACATGACCTCAACAGTCCTCATTGTTTAAGGCACCGTGTGTTTCTGTTACTTGCAGCCCCAAACATGCTAGTCATTACAGCTTTGAAGAATGTGCTGGATTGGGAGAGCATCTCAGGCGGGGAGCAGTGCAGGCAGAGGGTGGGGCAAAGGCAGCAGAGGCCAGTTCAGCCAGGCCACACCATGGAAAACTGGGAGGGGTGGGTGCTGGGGGCACTTCTAACTCCAACATTCATTGAGTTTTCTCCCCACCACTGTTGCTCCATCAGATCAGTTTGGAACACATGAATTTTTTGCTTGTGCCTTGGAGTGACTTAATAAAGGATGAGCTTTAAAGAGAAGGAAACAAAGGCTAAAGAAATAAACAGAACTTCACTCTTGGCCTTGGACAACAGAGCAACCACCCTAATTTCTTTTTGTTAGACCAGAGATAATCCAATAATTAGGGCACAAATAGCATAACCCTGGCTAAAGCCGTAATGAACCATCTGGCTTGAATCATTTAGGCTTATTTCAGGGATCTGGTTGTCAGAGCTGAGAGGGGGTGTGTGGCCTGGGGTGGGTGGAGAGGAGTTTCACCCCAGAACCTGCAGGTCCTTCACCAGCAGGAGCCAAGATTTCTCAGCCACTGATGGGATCCAAGCCCAGGGTGGGATGCCCCTTGAAGGGGGCGAGGGACCCAAGCCGGCCCTGGCTCAGCCCCACACCTTCCTCCTTAGCTCTTCAGCAGAGTGCCCTGGTGACACGGGTGTGGCCAGCCCGCAGTTCAGGCTGTCAAGGCTGTGTCCAGGACTGCCTTCTATGGCTGACCCCAAGTGAATCTGCCCCTGCTGGGACACACGAGCTCTCTGGGGCCAGAGACCCACACTGTTGCTCTGTGCCCTGCTTCCCGCTGCTAGGACAATGCTCGGTGAACACTGCTGAGTTGACAGACTAGAAGTGGGGCAGTCTGGCCCAGGGCTTGGGATCTTCTGGTTCCCCCCTTGCTTGTGCGTTCAGGGTCTGCCAAAAGAAATGACCAGGTACCGCACCTCACAGCTGTGCATCAAGCAGATGGGCCCTTGGTGGCCCAGGATGGGAGCCTAAATCTCAGGTGGAAGCCCTGCCCTGCCCTCTCCCTCCCTGGGGTAGCAGGAAGGAGGCTGGAAATGGGAACAAGCTCCCTACCCCTTCTCCTGGGTGAAGCTTTTGATTCAGGGAATTCAAAGGGGTGACATGGTGCCTGCCCAGTTAGGGTCTGTTCAGAAGCACAGCAAATGAGGGGGTACCAGGGGCTGGGGGTGGGAAAGGTTCAGGGCACAGGCCTTGAGGGCAATAAACTCTCTCCACCCGATCTCCCCAGGCTGGCAGTGAGGGGAGGGAGAGGACTGCTCCCTGTCCCCGTGCCCAGCCACAGGGCCTCAACAGGCTGGGCTCTGGCCAGAGGGCTGCAATCCAGCCCTGAGAAAGTGCAGAGCACACACAGTCCCCACCATGGTTGAAAGGCCTCCTCGTGCTCACACCTCCAGGGCCCCCCCTAAGTAGGGCGATGAGAGGTCTGCCACTTTCCCCAGTAGCACTGGTAACCTTCACCTGAAGCTTCCAGGGTCACTATGCTCAGGGAAAATCCAGGCCCCCCGGCCCCAGGCCCGTTGAGCACCCGAGCCCAGCGCAGCCACTCTTCACTGCACTGTGCGCGTGGGGGAGGGGCCAGGCGGGCCTTGACACAGCCCTGACAGCGACCCCCGCCCCGAAAGGTCCACAACTGGGCCAGAGCTGACGTTTGCCGCTGGTTTTCCTGGTCTGAATGACGCGGCTGGGGCTACAGCTGGGCTGGAGACCTCGCGAGCAGCGCACCCCCCCATCCCCACCCCCATCCCGCGCAAACCTATTATACAGGGGCTGGCGACCGCTTCAGCCCCGGTTTCCCCTCCCACGGGTCGGGCGGGGCAGGTATCCTCTGAGACCCAAAATTGAGGGGCGTCTGCTGGCCGGGCCTCTCCCCCGGCGACCCCAGCGCTTGCCTACTCCCTGGAGTTTGGGGCTCAGCCCAGCGAGGCTGAGGGGTCCTTTTTGGCCGAGGGAATTGGGCGTAACAGGTGGGCGAAGGTCGGCGGCCCGGCGAGCGCAGTGGCGGGCCCCACGGACGCGGGAGGAGGCACCGCCAAGGTTTTTCCAAAGGACAAGCGGCACGGCGGTCCTCTGGTCCTCGGCCCGCGCGCCAGCAAAGCCGCCGCGCTCCGCGAGCCGCCAGGCCCACTCGCGAGGCCGGCCAGGCCTGGGCCCCCTCCGCCCCCCGGCCCAGCCCGGACCCTCGGCCGCGGGGCCGACCCGCAGCGGAATCTGGGGATGGGAGCGACCGCGCGGCCGGCAGCAACTGGTGTCTCCCCAGGGCGCAGCTCCGCCCTTCCCGGGAACAAAAGCCGCCGCCCGCGCTAAAGCTCCCCGCGGGCGGGCCGAGAGGGGGCGCGGCGCTGGCTCCGGGGAGCCAGGCCCCGGAAGTGGGACATCCCCAGGGAGCGCCCCCAAACTTCCCACCTCTCCAGTCCGGCTCCGGGGAGGTGTCGGGCTGGTTCTGCAGGGCGAATGGAGAGCGCTCGGAGCAGGCGAGGGGGCTGCGACCCGGCGGGGTACACCCGAGGGAAACCGGGAGACCGCAGGGGGACCAAGGGCCAAGCGAGGTCAAGGGGGCGCGCGCGAGGCCGAGCCAGGGGAGGGGCGGGAAGTCGGCGAGTTGGAAACTTACTGCAGTCGTCGGACTCGTAGCCGTCGGCGTCCGGCTCGTCCTCCGGCGGCTTGGCGGGCGGCCGTGCAGGGCTGTGGCCGGGGCTAGGGCCAGGACTGGCGCCGTAGGCTCCGAAGAGCTGGTCGACATCCTCGTCGTCGTCGCGGGCGCCGTCGGAGGGGCTGCGGCGGCTGGCGCTAGCCGCGGCCGGGCGAGCGGGGGCGTCCGGGGGCGCAGCGGCGCGGGGCCCCGCGGCCTGGGGCAGGCCCCTCGGGAAGCGGGGGAAGTAGTCGGAGATCTGCTTGATGGGCCGGATAGGGCCGGGGCACACGTCGATAGCCATATGCTCCTGGATGCTGATGGTCGCCTTCTCCCCGCGCCGCCGGAGGGTCATGCAGGCAGCGCGGCCCCGCCCGGGCGCGGCCCGGCCTGGCTCGGCGCGGCCCCGGCCAGGGGGCGGCTCAGCGAGCCCGGCGGGGCGAGGCGGGGACTGCGGGCATCGCCGGCGGCGCCCCCGGACGGCCCTGACGCGGCTACTGCCTGCTCGGCGGCGGCGGGCGCGAGTGAGTGCAGGGGCTGGCAGGCAGGGGGCGGGCCCAGCTCGCGTCACCCGGTAGCAACCAAGCAGTGTGAGGGTGCGGGCTGCGCGGGCGGGCGCGGAGCGGAGCGAGCGGCGCCGAGTGGCGCCGCACTCACTGGCACTCACACCGGCGCGCACGCCGGCCCGGGACCCCGCGCGTGCACACACTGGCGGGCAGGCCAGCTGGAAGCCTTCCACTCACGCGCACTGGAGGGGCGAGCTGAGAGCCGGGCCGGCACCCGCGGACGCACGCTCGCTCATTTCCGCGCTTACTGCCACTTGCTGGGGTCCGTTTGCTCTCACAGGCCACACGCAGGTGTGCAAGAACACTTCAAGCACACGCATATGTGTGCACTCGGCAGAAGCGCCCACTGGCTCACACCTGCAGGACACCACAAATATATGTACCGGCAGAGTAGGTTGAGGTTGCTGCGGTTCACTAGCTCACACGCGTAGAGGTGGTCAGGGGGACAGTCTTCCATGCCTCCAAACATGCCTAAGAGGACACACGAACACACCCACAGAAGTGAGCAGGGGACTCAGGGCACAGTTCACACCCATCCCCCCACAACTAACAGGACAGCCAGCCACACTCCTAGGATTGGGGGACAGACTGCTAACACACTACCGGGTGCTAACACACTACCGGGACATGTTCATCCTCATCTGTCCAAGGTCATTGCTAGCACACTTCCTCTCAGGTCACATAGAAACACACACTCTGTCACCTGAGTCGCCCTCTCACTTGCTCAGTGACTGGTTTGAGGGACCCAGCCCCCTCCCGCATGGGCACCGGGTGGGTGAGAACCCTGACAGAAAGCTGGATGGGCAGGCAGCTGAGGGCAGGGAGGGCACGGGCAGAGGAGACTTTCTCAGTGAATGATGGAGGAAACAGAGGTGAAGAGGCAGGGCCCACGTCATAGGGTCAGATAACTAAACACATCCCAGACGGCCCAGCCCTAGCTGCTCTCCGGCTTCCCTGGAACACAGCTCTGTTGTGTCCAGCATGGCTGCTGCTTTATATAATTGTGTTCCTGGAAAGCCCTGGTCATGGACGGAATCCTGTTTACTCTCTGGTCTCTCTTGACATACGAGAAATGATTATCTTCTTGCCTGAGTCCCGTCTGTGGGTCAGAATGAGGGGTCACAAGCCTGTGCCCCCCCATACCATGCTCCCTTGGGAGAGGGTGGGCAGCAGACAGGAGAGGAGGCCTCCTCGTTACTTCCAGTTGCATCATTCTGGCAGATGATTTGCTCTCTCTGAACCTCATTTTCCTCATCTGTGAAATGGGGCTAACCTCACAGAATTTTGGCGAGGCCACCTAGCACAGAGCATGACAGATAAGAGGTGCTCAATGGGGTTGGCTTTCTCTTCTCCCTTCCCTTGGGAGGTGAGACTGGTAAGAAATGATGGACGGTATGTTGCTTCATGTGTGAGTGCTGTACTAGTGGTGACAGCTACTACCCATAGTTGAGAACTACAGTAACGGTCAAGGGCTTCACAGCTGCCATCTGGTTCCTTATATCACCCCATGATGTAGGCAGGGTATAATGTTCCCAGTTTGCAGGTGAGGAAACTGAAGCTCAGATGCAGTGGCCTGCTCAGGGTGACCACTGGCTGGTGGCAGAGCTGGGGCTAGAACTCAGGTGTCCTGGCTTTGTTGAGGCTTCCACTTCCCCCTCCTCTGCATCTCCCTCCCACCCCTACAAGAGGTTGAGGAGGTCAGAGCAGAGCTGGAAACACAGGTGAAACCTTGTTCCCCAAAGCTCCTCCTGAGGCTTCTTCTTTGGATGGAGACAGCCCAAAGGAAGGAGGAGGAGGGGGAGAGAGAGGGGGCTGAGAGCTTCAGGGGTTGCAGAGGGAATGAGCTGGCCCGGGGCTCCCTAAATACCATCTGGGGTCCTGTTGGGAGAATAGTTCAGTCTTCCAAGAGGGAAAGGCCAAGGAAGAGACAGGAGAGCCTGGAAGCCTACCACGGTGGGTTTTTCATTTCTGGTAATGCTTAAGGGGAATAGTCCTTAAATAGGCACAGAGTGACTTCTGTGCCAGAGGTGGCTGCATCATAGTGATTATGTAATGATATGGGCTATTAACATACAGATGTTGAACCATCGCTTCATAATTACTTCACTTGAGGAGCAAGAGAGTGCTGTCATCGTCCTACAGATGGGGAAACTGAGGCTTCATGAGGCCAAGTGACTGGGACTAAGAACCTGGATATCCTGACCCCTGACCCCATGCCCTTCTGACATCAAAGGTATATCCCTGTGCTCACTGGGGGTGGGGACAGAAGGGGGCTGACTTGTTCCTCCTGGCCTCTTGACCTTCTGTGGGTCTGGCCATTTGGAAGGTCAGCTCACAGCAATTGGCTCTGCTGGTGCTCGCTCTGGGGAGGGTCTGGAAGAAGTAGGGTGGAGGGTTCAGCCTTTAAAACATCCAGCCAGGGAATCCCAGGATGCCTGCTGGAGAAACAGCGCAGCGCAGGTGGGGCCAACCTCCGGTAGGTGGCAGAGTTGAGAGCCACTGCGAGGTCTGAGTTCATCCAGCTATGACCTCAGCTGAGATGGGAGGGGTTCCAGGGGGGCTAGAATTGATGTTCTTTGGGCAAGTGTCCAGTTTCTAGAAAGGGTATGGGCTGGGGAGTCAGGCAGACTTGGATTCAAAGCCAGTGTCTCCCTTCTCCTGTATCTGACTTTGGGAAAGTTGCTTCATTTAGGGCCTCCATCTGCCCTGTGAAACTGGGGAGGCCACAAGCAACCTCCTGAGAAATGAAGGCAGGGATGGATACCAAGTGCCTGGGCGTGCAACAGGCATTCCGTGAATTTTAATTCTCTTGCCTCTGCCGTCTCAGAGCAAACCACCATCCTACACCCTTTGCCTGCCTCAGTTTCTCTACCAGTGAAGAGCAATTGATTGTCCTCATCCTATTGGCTGCAAGGACTGGGTGAAGACGCTGGGGAAAGTGAATTGAGAAATGAATGTAATTGCCAAGGCTGGGCTGCCAGCTGGCATGTGTTGGGATCTGTCAGCTGCTGGACATGTCCAGACCCCATCAATCACGTTGCCTTTCAGACTGTGGTGGGTGGCTTGGCAGAGTCTGCCCTTGGGCAGAGCCCTCAGGACTCCATGACCCTCATTTCCCCCACTACCAGCTTCTCCCAATAGACTTCTGTACTCCCCGACCTCCAACCACACACACACAGGGGCCCCTGTCCAACGAGGCAGAAGTGGGTTCCTCAAAGGATGTCCAGGCATCTCTACCACTGGGATGTCTATTAACCATGCAGGCTCTGGGCCCTACTCCCTTATGTGTGTGAGGACTTGAAATGTGTCTTTCCGAGCACCCCGTGGATTACTCTTATGCATGATTATCTTTATGAGAACTGCAGGGTTAGGAGGTGCTAATAGTTTAATAATGATTCTCAGCCTGTTTTGCTGCCTCCACACTGTTCAAAGTGCAACATCTGGGCGGCGGGGCAGTGTTGGAATTTCTGGAGTGCTTTGGCAAAGTCCCGCTGGGGAGTCTGATACAGAGCTGGGGTCATTGTGACTTCTTTCCTGATGAGGACAAGCAGTTAGAGCCTTCCCTTCCAGTAGGTAACTGGCATTTGGGAGGAAATGACCTCTACCCTGTACTTGGCTGGATGTCCTCTGCTGGCATCTCTGGCTGTTCCTGCATGCCCTGGGAGGAAGGGCCCTCCCTGGCCCTGGCCTGACATTTACCCCCAGTTTCTGCCCTTTCTTGATTACTCAAGGAGCTCTTGGCATGTTGTGCTGAAAGAACCTTCTCTGTATTCATAGGAATGTTTTAACCAAAGGAGGGGCCAAGGGAAGAATTCTAAGCACTGTCATTGGTTGATGGAGAGAGGCCTTCCAGGGGCTTTTGTGAATCCATGTTTTCACAGATATTTATTGAGCACGTGCCCTGTGATGACCCCAAGCTACGTTGCAGGGGGCCTGGTGACAAATGAAGCCCCATTCTCCTTTAGACACCAATGATGGAGGGCAGATCAGGAAGGGATGTGGGAGCCATCCACTCTGGCTGTTCACTGCCTCTTCCTTGACCTACACCAATGGCCCTGGCTCAGGAAGCTTGGTGGATTGCTGAGGTGAGCAAGTCAGCAGAGGTGCTTGCAATATAGTCCATGGCTGCTGAGAGGCAAGCTGGGTTATTAAGCGGTATTAAAAATGTAGCTCTTTCTGATAATGTATTATGCACATGCTCATAAACACATCCCCCTGTCACAGTATATTTACCAGCATTCAGGCCTACCCATGGGGAGGGGTTAGCAATTACCTAATGATGCTGTTTTGCAGATGCCAAGTTCTCTTGGAGCTGTCTTGGTGGGCTGAATGGCTCAAAGAGATGCTTGTCTTTTTCCCTCCTGGGACACCTGTCCAGTGGTTTGCAGGCCACAGGTGTGTAAGCCCTTCACCTCACCAGCCTGTCTCACTTTGTCCATGAGGAAAAGTGAAGCCGAGAGATGGAAGCCCAGGCTCAAGGTCACAAAAGGCAGTCCCAGGACTCACACCAAAGGGCAAGGGGCCAGATGGAGGACTACAGCTCTTTCTCCTTCTAACAGGCAATGGGCCAGGCTGCCAGGCTGGAAAGAGGCCAAGGTGAGAGGCTCACCTCTCAGGAGGGCTTAACCCAGAATCAGGCTGACTCTGGTAGAAGATCAGATGCCAGAGAGGGATAATGCTGAATCCTTAGGGGAAGCTCCAGAAATAACCTGGCAAAGGACAGGGTGTGTAGCCAGAAGCTTAAGTGACAGCATGGATGAGGCAGCTCCCCACCCCCACTCCAACAGGGTTCCCACCCCTGGGGCCCAGGGTCCTGTTC